CAATAACCACAAAAACGATATTAGGTCTTGTATGGGACAAATAAATGAGTTTTCCTACGAGACGTTGATATCTACCTTTATCAACTGGGATTCCATTAAGAGCATCTCCCAACTTCTGATTAGGATCTATGGGTGGATCACTTGGTTTGCAACCACTCATACCTGTCTCCTCTAAAAAGTCAAGAACATACTTTTTTTGTGATACAGAAATTCTCATCTTTGACTTTGCAATTTCCATACCCAGGAAGTAGCGTAAAGGCCCCAAATCCTTAATTGCAAATTTTGAGGCAAGATGTTTCTTCAACCTACATATTTCATCATCATCATTCCCCGCAAGTATTATATCATCCACGCATACAATCAAGATAGTCATCATTCCATCACCAGTGTGTTTCACAGATATTGTATGATCAGATTGTTTTTGATTATACCCATCTTTTTTAACAATTCTGGTAAATCTCTCAAACCAAGTTCGGGGAGACTATTTTAGTCCATCTAATGATTTTTTCAGCTTACAGACTTTTCGTTTAAACTTCTTTTCAAAGCTAGGAGGCGGATCCATGTAGACTTCTTCTTCTAGCTCTCTATTGAGGAATGCATTTTTAATATCCAGTTGAAATAGTGACCGTTCTAAATTCACAGCTACAGAGAATAACAATCAAATAGTATTTAATTTAGCCACAGGGACAAAAGTCTCCTGATAGTCAACTTCATATGTCTATGTAAATTCTTTTGCTACTAACCTTACTTTATAATGTTCCAATAATCCATATGAGCTGAACTTTATAGTGAAAACCCACTCGCACCCAACAATCAGTTTTCCTTTAGGCACTCAGTCATTTCTCACGTATCATTCTTATCTCGAGCCTCCATTTCTTCAAGAACAACCTTCTTCAATTCAGGAACCGTTGGTGCTTCCTGTATAGATTTAGGTACATTCACACTTGATAACTGTGAGACAAAAGTATGGTAAAAAGATGATAGGTTCTTATAAGATACAAAATTTGATAAAGGGTGTTGAGTACATGATCAAATTCCTTTTCTAAAAGCAATAGGGAGGTCTAGAAGGTCAGATTGTACTTGTTCAATGAGAAAAAACTTAGGTTCTAGAGACTTAGAGAGATTGTACCTGATTCTTCAGATCCTGATATCGGATCAGATTCTTAGCTTTGAGGATACATAGCTGCATCTTTCTTTACTTTGAATCGGATTTCTTTTAGTGTAAGTTTTTCTGAACAACCTCTTATCATTGAAGCGTGTATAATCCATTTTGTTAGTGTCTTTTTTGTGTTCAGGCACTAAGGTTGGTCCCATGTTTTCCTTAGCCAAAATATGAAAATCAAATATTGCAATTTCATTGCTTTTGTAATTATTAGAAATATTTTCTTTTTCAAACACTGAATCTTAATTTTCTTTCTCCTCTTGAAGATGAGGACTAAACAAGATTTGTGATTCAAGAAATGTAACATCCATCGTTATAAAATATTTTTTTTTTGTAGGATCAAAACATTTATACCTTATTTGTGTGGAAGAATACCTTAGAAAAATACATTTTATTGTTCGTGGATCTAACTTATCTCTGTTACGATTATGTATATGAACAAATACAACACATCCAAAAACCCTTAACAGTAAATCTGAAGTTAATCGAGACATTGGGAATAATTTTTTAAAAACTGTTAGAGGTATCTAAAAGTTCAAAAACCTTGATGACATCTTGTTGGTTAGATATGTAGCAGTAAAAATTGCTTCTTCCCATAAGTATTTAAGTACGTTATTGGTAAACATTAAAAACCTAGCTACTTCTAAAATGTGCTTATTTTTTCTTTCTACTACCGTATTTTGTTGAGAAGTGTTATTGCAATAGTTGTGATGAACAATTCCTTTTTTTTTAAGAAAAACGACTCTAAGAT